TCGAGGCACCACATGCCAGCTTTCATACTTTCTCAAGAGCTCGTTTTTTTTTTTACATACATCCTCCCTGAAATAATAATACGAACAATATGTCTTCAGTTGGTGATGTTGTGAGCTGTTGGCCTAGTGGTAAATGAGTGTGTAGTAGGTACTCCGCCACTCGGATTCAACTATTGTTAGAAGAGAATATCTATAATGTTTGGGTGTCTAGTAAAAAGGTGAAATCCTCTTTTTTTACCCCCCCAAAAAAAAGAAAAAAAGAAAATGAAAATGTCTCGTACAAGGAATCATGTGAGCTAACAATGTATTCGACCCTAAAGGAAAAATATTAATGTAGTCAATGGTTGCTTTTGAATGTCCATCAGTTCTGCAAACACGTACCCTTGCCTCACACCATCATGCTTTGCTATATTCTCTATCTCGAGCGCTTAATTATACCAATTTGAACTTTCTTTCCTCGAGAAAGAATGCAATACAAGATTTAGAGTTAGACAAAGATCCATATCTTTGGATTATCTGGTATCTCTTCTAAAAATGATAAATTGTTTAGAGAAATAATGAGAAACCCTCTTAAGCTGGTTAGATATGCTGAGACTGAGTGTAATGCTTGGTTTGAGGCCAACTCAATGCCAATAGATAAAATACCTCACCAGTCTCAAGATATACAAGCCTTAAGTTTACAAAGTGTTTGCCTAGTTGATGGTTCATGGACGCTGGAGTCACAAGTTAGTGGGTGTGGATGGGTATACCTTGATGATACTGGAAAAGAGCAATTTATGGGGCTGAACTGAGCGATGATTGTCACTATACTCTGAACTAGAAACTCTCATTTGGGCAATGGAGAGTATGTCACAATATACTACTTGCCAACATTTCATTACAGATTGCAAGGACGTAATAGGGATGATCAAGGATCCAAAATCGTGACCAAGTTTTTCAGCGGAGCTATCGGAGTTTGCAGCCATTTAAGCGTGATTTCAAGATTTCAAGATCAGTCATGTTCCGAGGAGTTAGAACAAGAAAGCACACAAGCTTGCCAAGACAGCTCGAGATTTTTATAGAAGTCTTATTTTCGTTGGTTGTTCTATCATGATATGGATTCTCGCATCACTTTTAGTTTGAGTGATTGAATGGCCTTTGATATCAAAAATATATATAGTTTGTATAATATTTGTGGATAATCCGTTTGTGTCTTGTGATAAAAATGTTTTAAAAAAAAATTTCATATGAATCTACTTTGTTTAAACTTGGATTTCGAATGAAAGTGTCTATGGAAAAAAAATTTTTGTAGGCCAAAAAAATAGTAACTATATCCAATTAGACTTATCTCATATACTTTATGTCCCATTAGGTTAAATATTTTCAAAATGGCAATAATGCCCTGAATTTCAATTAAAAGTTTGAAATTACAATTAACAAAACAATATTTAAATATTAAAATATAATAATAATTAAAGTGGTTTCAAAAAAGTAAATAAAGAAATTAAAATAAAAGAAAACCTTAAAATCCTCAAATCGCAAAAAACCTAAACATATCATTTTTTTATTTTTTAAAACTAGTCTGCACGTTTTTTTAATTTTTTTAATTTTTTTATGAAAATATCAATTTCTAATATATGGAAACTGAATATTTCTAAATATTGTTTTGCCATATTTTCGGACCTGATTGTCCTTATCTTGTAGAATACAATAAAAATGTTTAAAATCAGTTTCTACAAGTTTTAGATTTATAATAATGTGTACATTCTTATTTTTACTGATTTTAGATTTATAGTAATATATAGATTCCGATTTCTACTGATTTTAGAAGAATATGTTAAGCGCAAAATGTGTATTCTTAATATTTTTATTGTACTTTTATTTGCGTAGATCACATATTCTAAACATAGTAAATTTAATGAAAAATGTGGATTTCATTTTCTAATTCATAGAATACCAATTCTACTTTATGCAGAACATAATTTGAAATTATGATTTAGACATTTTTAGAACTTAAAAATACCACTAAATTGATATAAGTGTTTCATTAGTAGTTACTATTTTTCAATTTTTTTTGTTTGTAAAACTATTTATTTATATTTTTTTGAAAATACTAAACGATATTAGAGGCAGAAATGATACAAAATATAAATTAGCCTAATGGGACATAGGTACTTTTTGGGGTAAAAAAAAACAATTTTCCCATGTTTTATATGTGTTTAATATTCTTCCCTTTGTCTTTTATATCAACCACTGAACCATTTGCATTAGTTATACTAAAAATAATGCTCCTCTCTACAATGATGTTTAACGTGATAGTGTTTGTGATACACTGAACCACATGTTAACTATCACGTGATATTTTTATCATTTCAAAAAATAAAACTGAATTATGCTAGAAATATTTTAAATATTTAGCATTTGGTTCTGTAGTGATGATCGAAATTTTTTATTCTGAATGGGCAGAGTCTGCTTGCTCTAGTTTTAAATCATAGTTAGCCACTAGCTATAAACAATTAAAATTATAAATATACCCCTTTATATTTTATGGAATTAATTAGTCCAGATTTTGGTTTATAATTTCCTGCTTATATAAAAACAATGAATTTTGGTTTATAGTTTCCTGCTTTTATGAAAAGAAAAGTTCAATGAATATTATAATCCATATAGGTGTTTTAGTTGTTTTGTTATTGACAAAAAAAAAAGTTGTTTCGTCTTGTTCGATAAAACATATATTACTAAAATTTTATTTATTTTAATATCATGGTGAAAGATTTATTATTCCACTCACTCGCATCCACTGGTTCACTCCAATGGACAATTGGACATCTACCACGTTTTTTTTTCTAATAAGAAATTGTTACCTTCTTTTTTTTGGAGCAATTGTTACCTATCTAAGCTCTGAGTACTATAAATGCTACCATGTGTTAGCCATATTAACACACACAAATCAAAGTCTCATTAGCTCTGAGCCCTAAAATGAAAATGGTTAGTGCTAAATTAGCTACACTGATCTTCTTAGTATCAATGGGCATCGCATCTTGCGCCATGGACATGGACATGTCCGTCGTTTCCTACGATGACAACCACCATGTTACCGCTGGTCCCGGCCGCCGCAACAGCGTTTTCGATGTCGAGGCATCATTGATATTCGAGTCATGGATGGTTAAGCACGGGAAGGTGTACGAGTCCGTTGCCGAGAAGGAACGACGTTTAACAATTTTCGAGGACAACCTCCGTTTCATCACTAACCGCAACGCTGAGAACCTTGGTTATCGGCTCGGTTTGAACCGGTTTGCAGATTTGTCGCTCCGTGAGTACGGACAAATTTGCCATGGGGCTGATCCAAGGCCACCCAAGAACCACGTTTTCATGACTAGTAGCGACCGATACAAGACTGCTGCTGGTGATGTGCTTCCTAAGTCTGTTGACTGGAGGAACGAAGGCGCAGTGACTGAAGTCAAAGATCAAGGCCATTGCAGTAAGTGTCGTGATTTTAATCCAGACGTTTTCATTTAGAATACATTAATAAAATTAATAGAAAAGATTCAAAACCAATGAAAAAGTAAAACCTAAATGAATCCTTAGATAAATAATTATAAGAATATGATCTTAATCCTTTTAAATTGGCTGATAATATGTATCAGTCTCAACAGATATGAAAACGTTAATGGTGGTTGAAATAAGTAACCAATAATTTTTTTACCTACTGAGTCCAAAAGTATATAAGCTTCATGCATATTTTGTTCCTTTGTGAAGGGAGCTGTTGGGCTTTCTCGACGGTGGGAGCAGTGGAAGGCTTAAACAAGATTGTGACAGGAGAGTTGGTCACATTGTCCGAGCAAGATTTGATCAATTGTAACAAAGAAAATAATGGTTGCGGAGGAGGTAAAGTGGAGACTGCATATGAGTTCATAGTTAACAATGGTGGCCTTGGTACAAACAACGATTATCCCTACAAGGCTGTTAATGAAGTTTGTGATGCCCGCCTCAAGGTATAGTTACAATCATTTATAGAAAAAAAAATAAAAATGATATCTCTAACAACAACAACAACAAAAATTCAAATATTTATTGTTTTGTAGGAAAATAACAAGAATGTTATGATTGATGGGTATGAGAATTTGCCTTCCAACGACGAGCTTTCATTAATGAAAGCGGTAGCTCACCAGCCCGTAACAGCCGTTATCGATTCCAGCAGCCGGGAATTTCAGCTTTATGAATCAGTAAATAAAATTCATTCCGTAATTTTTTCTGTATAATTTCGTTTTTGTTTTTAAAGTTTTATTCTTATTTGTTGGCTGTATGTCACTTTAACCTTGAAGGGAGTTTTTGATGGAACATGCGGAACAAACCTAAACCACGGAGTTGTTGTGGTTGGGTATGGAACCGAGAAAGGTCGTGACTTTTGGATCGTGAGAAACTCATGGGGCAACACTTGGGGAGAATCTGGTTATATGAAGATGGCTCGTAACAATGCAAATCCAAGAGGCTTGTGTGGTATAGCGATGCGAGCTTCATACCCCCTCAAGAAATCGGTTTCTACCGATATAAGGGCCATGGCCTAAAATTATGAACTAAATCTATTTTATGCGAGCGATCGAGTGTGAGAACAACCTATTCGACTTTGAATGAAAAATAATGTAGTCAATGGGTTTGGTTTTATATTTTGAATTTGTATGGAGTAACTGTTAAAATGGAGTAATGTAATATTTATGAATATTTTCTTTCGGGTCGACGGTGATAAATATTTCCTCTTTCGAGAAAATGCTAAAACATTATCAAACTTTTGTTAACAAAATATAATACGAAATTTTGAGTTTTGCCGAAAATGGTGGTGAGAGACTGAGAGCTTTTTGCTTTCATGTTTGGTGTGGAATATTAACGTTCTAGATAGGTTAAGCATTTTGCTAAGACAATTTATACACCTAAATATCAATGCTATTAAAAAGGGAAAGAGTAGTAAAAAATCTACTTATACAAATTGTTTGGATCTATTTATTATTTTTGCTCTTATTTTTAATTTTTTCTAATTATTTATATTTTTTTTATCATCAGCATGACAGACTCATATTGACTCTATGATCTAAACTGGTAGAATTTCATCCATGTGAACGACAAACGACGGCTGTTTCCTGGCATTTCGTGCTAGATTATCCGCATGTATATTATGTCTTCTTGATACATAGATGACTTCTGAGCTATAGAAACTCTCTTTAAGCTTCTTGATATCTTTCATATACGCTGCAAAAGCTGGACGTTCATCTGGTTCTTAAACTATCTTCACAGTTAAGAATAATCTGTTGCCAAAATGATAAGAAATTGATGTAAGTTCCTCATACTTTCCATTGCCCAAATTAAAGCTTCTAGCTCAGAATGTAAAGGGGAGAGACTGGCCCTAACAATTCGTGCCCCCATCAAACCTGCAAAACCTTCAAGTGTACTATACCAGCCTTGTCCTGAGAAGGCTTCCTTCTCTTTCCACGATCCATCCGTAAAATACCAGTGTCCTGATATAGATGGATGATTCATAACCTCTCCTTGTGAAAGTGGTTGCTGATGTTGTATTGTTGGGCCTCCGCCCGAAGGGCTGCTTCTCCGCAACTCTAAGCGTGTCCCTAGGATCAGTATCCAGGTTACTTCGTTTTACTATTTCTTGCCTTCCAAATATATTACAATATCCATGTAAAGTGATGATCCTCCATCTTTGGAACAATTCGCCAGAATAGGTGATCCATATTAATGAAGAAAGAACCTATAGGAAAAATAACTGGATTCGAGGGAATCTTTGATAATGCCCAGACCTGTCGCATAGGAGGACATTCAAAAAACACATGGTTGACTGATTCTTCTTCCTCTCCACATATAGCACAACATGTGTCTCCTTGTATCCCTCTTGCTCTCAGATTTTTCTTTACAGCTATACATCCCATTATCAATTCCCATAAGAAGTGTTTTATCTTCGGAGGGCATCGTACCTTCCAGCAGAAAGCTTACAATACATCGACCGTAGGTCCTATGAGTTCTGGTGGCCTTCCCCGATCTGGATATACTGTTGGGGTCAAAATCGGTACAACGGAATTAATGACCAAAACTTTCCGCAAAAAATAATGAATATAAAAATATGTTTTATAAAACACGATAAGTCGTTTTATAAAATTCTAAGGATTTCCGAGCAAAGGAAATCCGCGCAAAACTTGAGAATTGTTGTCTCAGGTAAAAAGAACGAAAGAATTTCCGATTACACGATTACTCGAGTTAGACCAAAAACCGCAAAAAACCGCATCTTCCATAAAACGCGAGCAGGTTCGACCGAACCAGCTCGCCGTACAGCGAGCTGGTTCAGTCAAGCCAGCTCGCCGTATGGCCAGCTGAACCAACCCGGTTCGGCTCGTCGTACAAGCTGACCGTCCCGAACCTTGCTCACCGAATTCCCGATTCGAAGCATACATCCTTTGGTTCGATCATGTTCCGAACCATGATCGAAACGTTTCTCGTTTCGTCTCGATCCGTCCTATCGTTCAAGTTTGAAGATAAAAACCGTAAAGTCTTGTTTTTTGAAAGAACTCGAGGAAATCGTATAAAACGGCAACGGTTAAGCGAAGCACCGAACATTGCCTAATTATACGATTTACTCGAGATTTTTCATGAAAAATCGTAAAAAAACGCATTTTTAGTAAAACCTCGAGTAAATCATAAAAAACGACAACGATTAACTGAAACATCGAACATCGCCAAACTTTACGATTAACACGAGAAACTTATTTAAAAACAGGATCGCATCAGTAAACGATCTCGTCTAAAGTCGTAGAACGGTTTTATCACAAAATGGCTCGGAACATCCTAAAACGCGATAAAAGCCTATTCGCGACTTTAACGAAGTCAGCCCAGAGAGACGACGACGGTTTGACGATTTACTCGCAGAAAGAAGATAAATGTCAAACTTGAAGATAAATGTCAAGTTTAAGGATAAATAGAAGATTTCCGCGGGAAAAAAAAAGAAAGATCAAGATAAATGGAAGATTCTCGATAAACTCGAATCTTGGCAAAATGGAAGGACTAAACCGCCTGGAAGGGAGTATATAATCAGAAGGCAGAGGACAGAAGCAAGGGACGATTTTCGAGAGCTTTTACCACCATAAACTTAGCACTTAGGGTTTTTTCCATTTTTGTTATCTAGCTGCGTCACAACTAGGGTTTTAGTCTTAGACTGCTAGGCTTAAGGATCTCGCCGACGGCTCACATGGCTAAGGCTTACTCTGGTTGTACCGTTCTTACGTAGATTCGAAATAAGACTCTTTTCGTTCTCAATCTCACTATTACATCTTTGTTTCATACTTGTCGTGTTCTTGATTGTTCTTGTGCGGTTCCGCAGATAGCCGGGTCCTCTGGAAAATTAAGGTTTACTCTAAATTCCTATATCTACATAATCTCGACCGTAGGTGAATTTCGGTTCCCATAGTTTGGCGCTAGAAGGAGGAGGGATCGGATCTATCTTACACTCGAGCCGCAGCACGCTAGATCAAGAAACGATGTCTGGTGACCAACAAACTCGCGACGAAAGCCACAACGTTGACAACACACCACCACAGGATGTGTCCAGGCCTAACGCTGCCACTAACGCTAACGCCGAAGCCATCGAAATGATGCTCTCCGGCTTTAACAAAAAAATCAGAAGAGAAAGAAAAGCTCATTAGTTCACTCGCAAAACAGGTCGAAACCCTAACTGCGAAAACCAGAGCGATTCGCCCCCGCGAAACTACTAAGATCCGCGGAAGAAGGCTCGATTTCGCGACTCCTATGGATCGTCCCAGAACCGATCAGGGTAATTTATTGGAGAAAGACTCCGAAAAAGATAACTCTGACGCGACGCAAAACAAATCGAACAAATCTCCTACTCGCATACATAAAACCGAGGAAGACAGCGTCGAAAGGGTTAACCTAGAAATGAGCAACCAATCCGACTCGTCGGATAAAGACGCGGATGTCCATCCTTGGAGCAGGAAAACCCACAGCCCTCTACCGGAGTCTTCTCCAGAGCGTTCTCTTACTGGCGACGAGGAGGAGCTCTATTTTGCGCAACTCGCAAAAACAGCCGAGGAACGGTCTCCAGTTACTCGCAGCAAACGCCGACGAGGTCGGAAAACTGCTGGTGACCTAACTGAGATCCGCGATCTCCGCGACTACATAACTAAAACGGCCGCAGCGGTAAAAGCAGTGAAATCTCAAATTCACCATGCTACCAGCGCCGCACCCAAAGTCGATCGGCTGCTATACGAATCTCGGAAAATGCCTTTTACGGCTCGCATTACCGAGGTCAAGCTACCCGATCCGGAAATCTCAAGGTGCCAACCTACGACGGGACAGCTGATCCTAAAACGCACCTGCAGGCCTTCCAGATCACCATGGGACGAGCCAAGCCTAACGACAGCGAAAAAGACGCAGGCAACTGCCATCTTTTCGTCGAAAACCTAGAAGTAGCGGCGCTCGAGTGGTTCGCTAAGCTCAGGCGGAATTCGATCGGGAGTTTTTGCCAGCTTGCTTCAAAATTTCTGAAGCAATACTCGATGTTCATAAATCGGGAAACTTCTGATGCCGACCTTTGGAGTTTGTCGCAGAAGGAGAACGAATCCCTTCGCGATTTCATGAGCAGATTCAAACTCATCATGGCTAAGGTTAGCGGAATCAGAGACAAAGCCGCCATCGACGTGCTCAGAAGATCGCTATGGTTCAAATCGAAGTTCCGAAAGTGGATAACCCTCGAGAAACCGCGAACAATCCAGGACGCGCTCCATAAAGCTACCGATTACATAACCATCGAAGAGGAGACTAAAATCCTGTCCGAAAAGCAAGAGCCGGCGAATCGTCTGCAAAAGACAACGCGTCCGAGGAAAAGCTGAGGAAGAAAAACCCTCGTAACGACAAATTCGTCCATCACGAGGGACATGATCTCCAAGGGGCGCACAATCACGCCATCAACTCTGGATCGGAGCAGGGGCAAACTTCGGGAAATACGTGGTCAAGGAATCCGAATTACGACGAAAATTCTTTCTGCGATCTCCACCAGACCCGCGGACACTCTACCGTGAATTCCAAAGTTCTTGGCGCCAGACTGGCCGCAAAATTAATTGCGGGAGAACTCTTCGAGGTGTCCAGCGTAAAAGACCTCATCCGTGATTCGGACCGCCCACCAAAACCTGATAGGAACTCGCGAGCGGAAACTCCACCTCAAGGGAACCAGCCAGGCGAGAAACGCGGACGAAAACAGGACAAGAAAGGTAATGACACTAACCGCCGAAAGATCAATATGATCATCAGCGAATCGCAATATTACAGTGATACCATCTCGTCTATCAAGTCCTACCAACGTAAAGCCAAAACCGGTTCGATTGGAACATATCATCCGATAACACTCCAAAGGGAGTAATCTCGTTCGACGATACGGAAACCGGCGGCATCGATCAACCGCACGCCGACCCCCTCGTCATCGAACTAGTCATAAGTGTCATTGAAGTTTCCCGAATCCTGGTCGACACCGGAAGCACCGCCAACGTAATCTTCCACAACACGCTGGCGCGCATGGGAATCGATTTATCAGAGGTCAAGCCAATTACAAAACCGTTGACCAGTTTCTCTGGCGAAACGGCTATGACCTTAGGATCAATCCGACTTCCGTTCGCCGCTAAAGAAGTGACGAAGATCGTTAACTTCGCAGTCGTCAATAGCCCAGCCATCTACAACGTGATCATGGGCACGCCATGGATAAATTTGTAATCAAAATTTTTGAAACTTTTTTGAAATTTTTAAATAAAGACAAAG